ATATACTCTTCACGATTCTATATTAAATTATTACTTAGTAAAAAAAGATCTTAATTATTTATTTAGTTAGCTATTTAATCTAATATCTATAAGAGAAGAAATAAGAGAAGAAACTATAATAGATAAATACGAAGAATACTACGAAGAAATTAAGCGATAATAAGATTATTATTATTAAGAATACGACTTAACTCTTCAAGATCTTATATTATATACTCTCTACGATTTTATATTAAATTATTACTTAGTAAGCGAAGAATACTATTATAACTTAATTTATTATCTTTATTATATTAATATAATATATTATTATAATAACGTTATAAGAGAAGAATCTACTACGATAATTATAGTTAATTAAATCTTTATAAAAGAAATATCGTAAGAGAAGAAATTATAATAAGTAAATATAGAGAATATTACGAAGAATACTATAAAGAATATTACGGAGAAATTAAGCGATAATAAGATTATTATCGTTAAGAATACGACTTAGCTCTCTAAGATTTCACGTTATATACTCTTTATAATTTTATATTAAATTATTATTTAATAAGCGGAGAATATTACTATAATTTAACTTGTTATTCTTATTATATTAATATAGTATATTACTATAATAACGTTATAAGAGAAGAATTTATTACGATAATTATAGTTAATTAGATCTCTATAGAAGAAATATTAAATAATATATATTTAAATGAATTAAAATTATTCGATATCTATAGCTATTTTATTATTCGAAAAATTTTACTACGATAGAAGATATTATAGAATTTATACTACTAATTAATACGTTATCTTTATTTCTTTCTAATATTTTAATACTTCTTATTATAAGAATATAGTCTTTCTCTATTTTTTATAAGTAATTATTATAAATTAATTCTTTATACTTAATATATCTTTCTAATTAAATCTTAGCGCGTCTCTCTTTATATATATATATCTATATATTATATTATTTAAATTAATTTTATAATAGTAAAAGTAGATAAAAAACGTATAGTAAGCGATTAAAGTTCGATTTAACTTAGAGCTAGAGCTAAAATTCGATTTAACTTAGAAAAATTTAACTTTATAAATTTAATTTATAGGTCTTTATATAAATACTATTATAATATTAATTAGATTTATTTCTTAATTATAATATATAGTTAAAGCTAAGAGAGTCTTTTATATAATTAATTTAATAATATTTAAAAAGATTTTATTATAATAAATTTCTTCTTATTAAAAAAAGTCTTTAATAACGTATTTAATTTTATAATATAAGATCTTATTATCTACTTTTAACTTCTTTTTATAAATCTATCTTTTTTTAAGAATAATATAATATACTAATCTTAATATTAGCTTTTATATCTTTATCTTCTATAATAAGTTTTATTACTTTTATATAATAATTACTTATTAAACTACTTTAAAGTTATTAATCGCTTTTTTATATATATAAAATTTAATATTAGTTATAAGTAATATAGTCTATATTAATTTAATAAATCTCTTCTTTAAAATATTAAAGTTAATTTATTTATTATTTTAAATAATATTATAATTCTTTAATATATTATTAATACGCTATAAGCGTCTTAATAAATTAGATTTAGAAGAATTTAATATATTTAAAATAATACTCTTCTAATTACTTAACTTAGATAAATCTAAAATATAATTAATCTCGAGATTTTCTAGATTTATAAATAGATTATAGATTATAATTCTAAAGTCTTCTTTAACTATATTTACTATTATCTTTACGCTGCGTAACGAAGCGAGAGACCTCGAGGGGGTTTCGAGGAGGGTCGGAGTCGGGGTAGGGTTTCGGGTCGGGGTTTCGAGTTTCCTTGAAACCCCGACCCCGCCTCGACCCGAAGGCGAGGTTTCGAGATATATCTTATTATCTCGATAAATCTTAAGTACCTCTAAGTAATACCTCTAAAATTTAATATTATATATTAAGAATTACGGTAAAATAGATTATAGAATATAATATTATAGTCTAAATTAGAGTATAAAATATAGATGCTTAGAAAGATACTTAGAATATATGTGAGATTATATTTACGAGGTATTAGAGAGATATTATAAAGATATTATAAAGATAATAGTCTCGAGCTAATCTAATTAATAGACTTAGCGAGATAATAAGATACTCTTATTACCTCGATAGAAAAATCTTACTTCGACTCTACTCTATCTCGTTAAAATCTCGTCTCGAAGCGAGATAATATTAGATATCTAAAATCTCGCTCTATTTCATCTTATTACGTAGCGTAATTATCTTATTATTTATAATTAATAAAAAAAAACTTTATTTTTTAGAAGTTATAAAATTCTTTTAATAATAATAATAATACTTATAAATTTCTTATTCTTTAAGATCTTATCTAGCTCGTTTTTAATATTATTAAAAAATAAAATAGAAATTTAGAAAGATCTTTATAAGATATTATATCGCTATATTAAATAAGATTTATATTTATCTTATAATCGATATTAATTAAATTTCTTATAATTAAATAAAATATATTTAAACTCTTATTTAATTATTTTTTTCTTTTATTTATATTTATAATTATAGATATAAACTATAATCTTAAATAGTCTTAGATAAATTATATTTAATATATTTTTAATAAAGACTTTATATAATATTATAACTATCTTTCTTAATAAAACTATTAATAAATAGTTTATATTTAGAATAGCTATTTTAATAGTCTTAATCTATAAATTTAATAATAAATCTATAATTATTAATTAAGTATATATCTTTTAAATAAGAATATTATTAATACGCTTATTAATATTATTCTATTAAAATAAATTAAATATAATTAAATTTTAATATATATTTTAAAACGCTAGCTAATCTCGAATTTTCTTATTATTATACTTATTAATATTATTAAAATAAATATATTTAAAGATAATATAAAACTATATTCTAATTATAATAATAAAGTTTTATAATAATTTTAATACTTAATTCTTAATTTTTAAAAAGTTTATCTATTAAAATTAAGTTTTTTAATTAATCTTTATAGAGTAATAGTAATAATCTTCTTTAAAGCGATATAATATTAATTCGCTATTAAAGAGATCTTTATAAATATTATTAAAAGTAATTTTTATCTTAATTATTAATTTATAATCTAGAGTATTCTATAATATTCTATATATATATAACTTATAAAATTATCTTTTAATATTATTTTTAATTTTTATTTCTTTTATTATAATTAATAATTTAATAATATTATTAAAATTTAAATAATCTAATACTTAATATTATTTAATAACTATTATCTTATAATAATTAGTTTTTTTAATAACTATAATTATAATAATCTTCTTAATTATTATAATTTCATATAATATAAATCTTAGCTTATAAATTATATCTATTAATTCTCTCTTAAGAATAATATTATTATTATCGTTATAGACTTTTAGACGATTTCTCTTTTTAATATAAATAAAATTATTATATTAAAATAGATTTAAAGAGAGTAGATTAATAGATAAATTATCGATATAGTAAACGTTTATATTCTTTATTCTCGCTATTCTTATTCTTAATAAGAGTTTTTAATAGAATATTACTTATTATAATAGTCTTTAATATTCTATTATTAATAGTTTCGACTAATATAAAGTTTTTAAAAGATATCGATTTCTTAATAAAGTAGAATTTAGAGTATATTTTATAAAATAAGATTATATTATCGAAATACTAGTCGTTATTATATAATATCGTAATAGTCTTTATATAAATCGTTTTTATTATTTTTAATTTTTAGTAGATTCGATAAAGAGAGATTTACTAGCCTACTTCTTCTTCTTAAATTTCTCGATATAATTCTTATACTTTTTAATTTACTTAATAAAGACTTAATTAAGATTAAATAATTAGTAAGTTCTATTATAGCGAAAGTTATAGTCGTTATACTTAAGTTTAAAAATAATTTTATTATTATTATTATAATCTTTATTATTATTTCTTTTATTTTTATTATTTATAAATATAACTTTATTATTAGAGTTATTAATACTAGTTAGTTTTTAATAATATTCTTTATTAAAAAGTTATTTAACGATATAATCGAAATTCGATTCTAATAGCCTTTCTTTAGCGTCTTTATTTTAATTATTTAAAATAATTTCTATAAAGAATTTATAAGATAAGAGAAGTTTATAAAGAAAGAATATTATAATTTTTTATTAGTATATATAATAGAATAAGATAGAGCTAAGTTTAAAAATTTTAAATTTTTATATATATTTAATTATAAATTTAAATTCGCTACGCTTTTTAATTAGATCGACTAAATTAGCCCGATAGCTCTTTCGAGCTCTCTTATTAAAAAAATAGATATATATTATTAATATATAGAATAACTTTTTTAATTTCTATTAAAATTTTAATTTTTTTTAGAATATTAATATATTATTAATATTAATTAAAAGTTTATAATCTCTTAGCGTAGTATAGTAGTAATGATAACAAAAAGTATATAGATTTAGTAGTGGGGCTATTAGCTATTATATAGCTAATGGAGAATAAAGCATTGCTATCTATGGCTAACTATACGAAAGGAATAATGATGGAATATGCATGAAAGGATGTAGAAAGGACGCATGCATAGAACATAGAAGGAACTAGACACGCTGACAGTTTCCATCGAGGAGGGTGCGCAAAGGCATCGTTAAACACGGAAGACGCTGGCTGCTCATTCTCTCTCCAGCCTAGTTCGGTAGGGCTGCTTTGTATATCTGCTGGGGACGCCACAGCTTCACGGGTTGCACTGTGACCGGTCAGAGAGAATATTAAAGCAGAATGGCTTTGGGCAACTCACCCAGACTCTCACGCCAGTGTGCTAGTGCACCGGGGGTCCTCGAGAGAATGATGACGGCTGTGATGATGTCTTTTTCGAATCCCCTGAGCGCCAGAGAATCAGTATATGCACTGACGACAACAAACAGCGGATAACTTACAGGGCTAAGTAAGGGAAAGAACCGTAAAGATCCACATTGGCATGGAGACCCCGCTCAACGAAGTAAGGATCTTTCCTTGCTGCCCTGTCAACTTCGAAAGCGATCTGAAGGAGGGGATTCGTGGAGTCCTCCGGCGGCATGACTTCCTTGATCAGCGCCGCCCTGGGGTCCCTCTTCTTCAGGACTCGGTGGCCGTAGCCGAACAGTCTGGCCTTTTTGGCCTTGACGGCTTCCATGAACGGGCCCACGTTCTCAACCTTTCCGATCTGCTCGAAGCCCTCGTAGGCCAACTCAATCGCTCCGCCATGAAGGGGTCCGAAGCCGGAGACCAGGCCCGCGATAGCGCAGGATACGGGATCTGTGAGGGAGGATCCAGCGTGCAATGCGGCGGCAGTAGAGTTGGTAATTTCGGAATCCGCGTACAATATCCACAATTTATTCAGACACTCCTCAACTTTGGAGTCTGAGCTGGTTTCCGCGTCAATGAAACCCATCATCAATAACAGGTTCCCAATCAGGGATCGATGTGGCTGTGGGTTAGTGAAATTTTTCCCACGTTTGTGGCAGTACACAAGTGCAATGGTAGCAGCCATATACGATACGGTTCTGACGATAGCTTTGTCAGCCTTTTCGAGATTGCCTTGGAACATGGGTTTTTGTTGGTGGCGGGTAGCACCCATGATGCTGTCCGAGGAGGCAAAAGCGCTCATGCCGGCTAAGATCATGTTGTAAGTCTCCGAATCTTGCCTGCGCAACTCGAGTCAGTCCTTCGAAGCTGTTGTACTGAGATTGCTTAGGAGTGACGAACGGGAAGGCTGAGATAACGTTGACCACGGTTTCAGGAGGAATCGCAGCCTGACACAACGCGGTCCGAACATCCTCTTTCTGTTTTGGAGAAGGGAGTGCCTCCCAGATGAGCAGATGCATAACATCCTCATAAATATATGTTCGGAACAAGTCTTCAATGGGGAGGCCCCGAAATCGAAACTCGCCGTGGTGCCCATCACTTTGTAGGAATGTCAGCAATAGAGTTGTGTGAGGAGGGTTATAAACAGCATACATGACAGTGATCGACGAAACCATACATGCGGTATTCTCGAACCCTTGGTCAAGTAGGCGAAGTGGGCGAGCGTTTTCAACGCTAGTGTTCTTCTCCTCGTGGGAGGCATCGGGTAGCGTGATTTTGCCCACGTCCGTCGCCTGGATAAAGTTGTCTTGGATGGGGATCTTATAGCTTTTCTCGGTGCGGGAGTCTAATACATGCAGGTAATCCATGTCTTGTGTCATTGTGTCGTGCTTTTATTCTTCGAATCGACGGTCAATGGAAATGATAAAGTGAAATAGAAATAGAGCTTGTCAGAATTCAGGAACACTGGGTCATATATCAAGAAAGAGTGTGGAGTCCCCACATTCACGCATCCTAAGGATTGACTCTACAGATCCTGAAATCCATAATTCCTGTAATCCTGCAATCTCTCAATCCTTGAATCCACCAATCCTGCCATGCGTGATTCCATTGACTATGCTGCTGGGAATCCTTGAAATCATGGATCCCCCGACTCGTTACTTTTTTACTTTATCGCAACAGTGGGAGTATGGGTTAGTGGGTCCATTATAAGGTCATAGCATTAATGGCTTTAGTGGTTATTTTATTAACCGTTTTATTAATATGCGATATACGATAGTAGAAAGATAGATATCTATAGCGAGTATTATTTATATAGCTACTATATTAATAATTAGCTTCATCTGCAAATCTAAAAAGTTTCTACTAAATTTCAAATTGCTGATCTTGCGAATAGGGCTGAAATTAAGAATTCCGCCGGTTTAGTAACTATCTCAAAAATCAGCTAAAATTTCATCGGTTTAGTAATTATCTTAATCTTTTTCGCTAGTTCTATTAGTTTAATAGTAATACGCACGAAAAAAGAAAAGTTCTAATAATTAACGTTACGACGATAAGGTTCTATAATAACGAGTATTAATATTAACTTAAATTTGACTATAAAATTAGATAATTTAATAAAATTAATCGCGTAGATAATACTCTAATATGATATATATTAATAATAATATATATTAATACTATATATATATAGAATAGTACTTAGAGTATATTAGAGTATATTACGCAAAATTTTTAAAGTTATTAAATTAGTAGAATTAGTAGAAAGAATTAGATATAGATAAAGTTTACTTAATAAACTAAATCGTACTTATAATACGAACCCGACGAAAATCGTATAGAAATTCACTTTTCAGATTTGCAAATGTTTTTATTTAAATTAAAGCTAAGATAAATTATTCTTCTTCGTCTTTATAATTAATTTAATATATATTAGCTCTTATATAATTATTATAAATATACTATCTAACTATTATAGATATATTTTATATTCTTTATATTAATATATATAAGAGAATAAGATAGAGCTAAGTTAAAAAAAAAAAAATTATATATATAATTATTTATAAATTTTAAAGTAATTATACTCTTTAATTAAACTAGTTAACTTAGTTCGCTAGCTCTATTAAGTCTTCTTATTAAAGAAATAAATATATATTATTTAATTTTAAAATAATTTTAAATCTCTCTATTAAAACTTCTTATATATTTTTTAAATTATAAATCGTAGTTTACGTTTTTTAATAATAAGATAATCTTAAATTTTAATCTTATATTTATTTAAAGATAAGAAATTTAATTATCGCTTATTAAAGTTCGCTTATTAAAATAACTCGATAGTCGATAGCGTTAATTAAAAAAATAGATATATAGTATTTAGTTTTAAAATAACCTTTTCGTTTTCTATTAAAATTTATAAACTTTTTTCTTAAATTTAGAAAAGTAATTTATACTTTTAAATAAAAAAAGAATAATAAAATTTAGTCTTATAGATATTTAAAGATAACGAATTATATATCGCTTATTAAAAACTTATTTACTTTATTTAGAATACTCTTTTAATATAAGCTTAGATAGTCGAGTAATAATAATAATAATAATAAAATTTTAACTATTTCGCTTCGTTCTCGATTTAAATTTATTAATCTATCTTACTATTAGAAAAAAGACTTTATAGATTCGAAGCGAGAGAACTCTAGATCGCTTAACTTATTATACGATTAGCGAAGTCTAAATAAATAAGCTTAAATAAGCGATCTCTTCGAGTTTTCTTTACTTTCTTAAGAATTAGATTTATTATTAGAATTATATATAAATATATATATCTTTTAAATTCTAGATTACTATATAACTTTAAAATTATAATTTAAGATTAAATTTAATAGTTCTAATTCTTTAATTATTTTTAAAGATAGTAATTTAAAATTAATATAGTACTTATAACTAGAGTATAATCGTAACGTCTATAAAACTAATCGTCGTTACTCGATATAAGATTAAATTTAAATATTATTATAATAAAATTAGAGATTTTAAAATATATTAAAGATTCTAACGAAGAGATTTCTATATTATTTATTAATAATAATTCTATAAAAGAAATAAGTAGTAGTAATAATTTAGAAAATCTATTAAATAGAAAGAAAGATATTAATAAGTAGATTAAAAAATCTATATATATATTAAACGATAGAATTAAATATATAACTCGCTATATAAATAAAATAATATAATAACGTCGTCTTTAATCTCTAGAGATAGAGGTTATATCGCTTAAATAAGATTAAATATTTACGAGTTATAGTTATAATAGTAATAATATTATATTTAAGTTATTAATAACTCGAGAAACGAAGAGATATATAATTAATATTAATCTCGAATATAATAACGTTATTTAGCGATTTTAAAAGATAATTAAATTAGAGAAGATATTAATTTATTATAAAAAGAGTATTAGAGAGTATCGAGCTCTTAATCTAAGAAGTAAATAAGGCGTTTCGTCTAATCTTAAAAAACTTTCTTATTAAGAAGAGTAAGATTCTTTAACTCGTTAGTTTTTTAATAACGATTAAAAAGAGCTATAGAGTAATAAGAAGAAAAGAGAAGTTTATTAACTTTCTATTTAATTAAATAAAAAATTTAATAAATTATATATTTAACGTTATTTAAGCGTAAATAGATATCTATTTACGCTGCGTAATAAGACGAGATAGAGCGAGGTTTTAAATATTTAATATTACCTCGCTTCGAATCGAGGTTTTAACGAAGTAAGATTAAATTAAGATAAAAATTTTTTATCGAGATAATAAGAATACTTCGTTATTTTCGCTAAGCGTTTAATTAAATTAATTTAAGATTATTATCTTAATAATACTTTTATAATATTCTCTATAGTCTCTTACTCTTATATATCTTATTATCTTTCTAAATATCTATATCTTATACTCTTATTTAAACTATAATATTATCTTTTATACTCTATTTTATTCTATTCTTAATATATTTTATTAAAATTTAAAGAGATTATTTTCTAATTATATATATTAATAATATTAAAATTATTAATTATTAATTATTAATTAATTAGACTAAGAGACTTTTATATAAATAATTTAATATTATAAATCTCGATTTATATATATACTACTTAAATATAAAAATTAAGTAAAATTATTTAATAAAGATATTTAAAATAAGCTAGTTTATATTTATTAATAAGATCTTTATAATCTTTAATATAAAGAAGTATTATATATCGCTTACTCTAATAAAATTAAATATAAATAATTATTTTATCTCTATATTTAATATATATATAATTAATTTAAATAACGTTATTATATTTAAGAGTAATTTAGAGAAAATTAATTATTTAATTATTTAGATATAATTAAATATAGTATTTACTATTAATAAACTAGCTATATTCTCTTCGAATTTAAATTATTAATATTAATAAATATATAAAAGAGTATTATAATATTTAGCTAAAATTAGAATATATAAAATAATATTCGAAATTATAAACTAGTAATATTATAATTATTTAATTATTTAGATATTAATTAGATTAATAAAATATCTATAATATAATTAATAGTTAAGATAACTATAATATTAAATAGCTGAGAGAAATAACATGTCTCCGCCAGCACAGTTTTTCAAGAACACTCCAAAACCTCGGGCTGCTGTACTACCGTTTTGTAGCACATGCTTTACATCGAGTAACCCACGAAAAATCGCGCGAGGCGTCAGAGACCGGGGATATTAATTTGACCTTTCATACTAAGATGTTGTGCCGGACGAATCGATGATACATACGCCTATATTGAATCTTAGGGCAGGGCTCGTCTGGTAGATATAGGAGACTGTCGATGGAGCACTTTCATTATCAAGTTCTAATCCGGGGTGCTCCTTTCCAATAGTAAAATCAATCAACTCACCCCGTTTGTTGAAATAAAGTACTTGATGCGACTTTCAAGTAAGACGCAATTCTTCTTCCCCCTAGGTTTTCGAGGAAGATACGAATGCTTCAAGGCTTGGTTGAAATATTAAACAAACAGGCATGCCGAACCGCAGCCTGCATACGGTCCTTCTCAACGTCTGGCCTTTGCGCAGTGACTTACACCAGTACCTCTGTGACAGACACAAGGGGCCCAACTGTGCTCATGATTTTGGAGTAGCCAACGTGTCACCAAATGACGGTGTGACCAAAAGTAGACAAACCGAAGATCTTGGTTGCTTTTCCAGAATCACCAGTACTTTCCAGCCCTTCAAGTCTCAAGACTCATACCGTGTCTGGCTTACCCTGCAGGTTCTGCTGTTCCATCAATCCTTTAGTCCGCCATCCCTCCTCCCTTCATCCATCGATCCACCATGCATTGATTGCGTTATCGTGTGAGTCCATCAATCCTTTAATCCATCAATCCTACAAGCCGTACTCCCTCAATCCGTCAATCCACCATTCCTTGATTCCGTCAATCCGCTAGAATCCGCATTGGCACATCATCGTATAAAGCTCCAGCCGTATTGGAATAGGAATACAATCTCTTCGGTTCATCGCTTTTCATCAAATCCAATAAGTCTCACAGCCAACCAACCAATCAGTCCGTGACTGCTCCCGAGCCTTCTCTACACACAGAAACCCCATTCTCCTTGACCACCATGACGGCCGCTACTCTAACCCCACATTTCACTTCAGGGACCGTTGGCATGTTCGGCGGCACCAAGGACGGAAAAGAGGCCTACATTGACTTCAAGAACAACACCGCCAACATCAACAAGCCCGAGGAGGTGCCCGTCAAAGTCCAAGACATGCGGACCATGAAACCACCGCCCACCTTTGCAAAAAACGGCTACGAGTTCCGCAGCCACGTCACCTCGGTCACGCCCGAACAGCTCGCGCGGGGCAAAGACTCCTCCGAAGCGCGAAAGATCGTCGACGACAACTACATGAGCGAAGTGGTCAAGATCATCCAATCCGCTACCGGAGGCGCGGAGGTGATCCCCAACGGCTTCCGCCTCCGCACGCAGTTCCAAGACGGCAAGGACATTGTGAAATCCAAAGTCGCCTACGGATCCGTCAACGTCGTGCACGTGGACCGGGACCCGGTGAACGCGCACATGAGGCTCAAGACCAGCATCGGGGAAGAGAGAGCGGAGCCGCTGCTGGAGAAATACAAAGGCAAGAAATGGGCTTCGGTGAACGTGTGGCGGCCCATTGGCGACACGGTGGGTAAGTGGCCCCTGCTGTTCGTCAACCACGAACGGGTGCCCGAGTGGGATTACGACACGCACATGGTGCATGTCTATACGATTAACGACCCTGCTGTGCTGGAGAGGGGGGACAAGGGTCATGAGACGGTGCTTAGAAATGACCCCAGATACACTTACCATTACGTTAGTAATGTGACTATTGATGAGGTCTTGATCTTTGCGTCGTTCCACACGGACCCTAAGATGGTCGTGCCGCACGGGGCCTTTTGGGACGATAGTTCCCCAGAGGACGCCCCTACGAGGCGGTCGATTGAGGCTCGATGCTGGGTGTTCTGGGACGAGGATGCGTGATTGGTGTAGGGAGCCTGTAAGGCGCGCTTTTGACGTCTCTGGATTGAGCAAGGGTGTGCTTTGGCAGAGTCGCGAACTCTTGAATCCATTTCAATATGACACTGGTGGGGAACATTGTTTGCCAGATAATGCAAGTCCAGCCCGTGTGAAGCCGGCCGATGTATTGACTAAAGAAACGAACGACTTACATGTTTCGCCTGTCGTAATGCCAAGAGCAAAACATAATTCTATGAAAGCAGACCCTATCACATCCAATTCGCCCTTTGAGATCATCCCTACTTATCATAAATCAGCTCAGCTGCAAGCTCGTGTACAAGCACTCCACGTTATGGCAGACTAATCGTTTCAACGGCGTTTCAAAATTCCCGTAGAAAAGGCCAGGAATAAAGTGAGAAGACGAATCCTGTTCGGGTTCATTACTTGGAAGAAGGCATCAACTTTCTCCAGTGAATTCCGTGTTCCGCCAGTCCTTCACTTTCTAATCACGCATTCCCAAGTCAGAATGTGAACGTTATGAGGTAACAAATTCAGGCCTTGTAGAATAAGATTGTCCGCGTAAGGGATACTAGACTTATTTCATGAGTAGAAGCCTGATCCTAGTTTGATGAACTTATTAAGAGTCATGTTGTGGCATGGAGACCTGTCCTTTCAACAAGTTCGAGACCTGCTCGTCACATGGATAAGTCTAGAGCATTTGGCAAGCTGCCTTACGGTTGATGGCTGCAATATAAAGATGCTCCCAGTTCTTTTTGCCTGCTAGGCCGCAGTATCTCTAGCATATTAGGCAGTTCCCTGGACTCCGTCTTCAGCACCACAGGCACTGTCCTTCTGCTCTTTCTTTTCTATTCTCCTTTTCTCATTCCTTGCTGTCATCCTTGACTCTGCTTTTTCTCGCTCTTCCTTCCGCCATGCCATTCCCTTCCACATGATCAGGAACAGCGCCGGTGAGAACAACACATAAGCTAGCCCCATGATCGTATATGCCCAACCCGAACCGACTGCCAGAATTAGCGGCTGGATCACAGCTGTCATTACCGCCCCCATCATGCATCTTACAAACCAATTTGCCGCGGTCGCTGCAGCGGCTTTCTTGCGATACAAGTCCGTGATGAGAGTGTTGAAGACATTGAGCACACCGATGTACACAACGCCCATTAGAAATGCTAGCACGCACGGCACAGCTACTGACGTCCGGCTCTTGAGAGCCCAGCCCCAAGCTATCACCAATGCAGCACTTACATAAACGAGCGGTAATGCAACCTCCAGTCTAGCCTTCTCGATCGGAAAATCGGTAAGATCAATTTGCCGGCTCTTGTCCACAGTCAGTCCCAATCTCTTTGCATGTCGACGATAATTCCAATTAATTGCCTTGCCAGCCACCCCAACGGCAACAACCGATCCAGCGGCCATTGGGAGAAACATCAAGCCAATTTCCAAACTGTTGAAGCCATAGATCTCTGTAAACTGGCTAGGTAAGGCAGCCGAAATGGCGTTGATACCACTATAGATAAGGCCTCCGTAAGCGAGTAGGAGGCCGAGTTCTTTACTCTGGAGCAAAGCAAGTGATGTGAAAAGATGTTTGATGCCGAACGTGGCCTTGGTAACTTTTCCCTCGGGCGCAGTCAATGGTAGAATGGGGGGCTCCGAATTATGGCTGCTGCTCTGTTGACGGTCTTTGATGAGCTGCCACAATGTCTCATTGGTCTTAGGTGGACGAATGGAGCCGTCCCCCACGATTGGACGACATGTCTCGGGGAAGAAGAGTGCTATCAAGACAAGGATTACTCCAGCGCAAATGGTCAAAAACCAGAAAATGCTCCGCCAACCTAGGCTATCCGTGAGTGCACCGCCGATGATGGGGCCGAGACTGGGACCTAAGATTGCTGACAAGGTGACGAAGCCTATATATTGACCTCGCTCGGCGCTGGTGACTATATCCGCCACTACTGCTTGACAGAGCGACTGCGTTCCCGAAATCCCGGCGGCCTGGAGACAACGAATCGCCAGAAGGCTGGCATAGTTGGGCGACACTGCAAGCCCAATATTTGCGGCGATATAAACAACAAAGCAGATGATGTAAGCTAGTCGTCGTCCCATCCTGTCGGCAAACGCTCCGATAAACATTGGCGTGATACCTTGGAAGATGAGATAAGCGGTTACCGTGAGGTTGATCTTCGACACCGAGACATGAAAATCATCGGCTAGGACCTTCAAGGCGGGTAGGTAAGTTTGCGCTGTCAAAGTCGAGAAAACGGCACCGATGGAACCGGCTAAGACAATGCCCTGCTTCTTGCGTTTCGAGAACACGCTATACTGAGGCGTTTGCGGGGCTTCATGCTGCGGGCCTTGTGGCGGATCATTCCCATCGCTCGCGGTAACAATACCAGTACCCGGAGACGGGCCTGGCGTAAGATGGGGGCCAGCGGGGTGCACACTAGCCTTCCTGCCCTGGTCTGATAGTTTAGATTCATCTTGGGATTCCTTGATAATGTATTTCGCACTCTCCGTATCTGACCGAATAGAGGTCATGGCTAGCCTTGGCAAAGCAGTGACGGATTAATAGACAGAATGTTAGCTGTGGTTACTATATCGCAAAGTAAGATGATGTTAGGGTTTTGTATGTTAATAATTAGGTATTGGAGCTGTGAGAATCTGTGCCTTGGATATTAGGTCACAAGGCTTCAAGTTTCAATCAAGGCAGTCTTGGCGGCTGGTAAGATTAATTGGCGAGGAGCTTGATGCTGGGGGTCCTTCTTTCTTAAGAAGGGTGTTTCTCGGACTTAGGGAGGACGATAGAAAGCATATCTCCGAGTAGAGGTAATCAAGCAAAAGTGATTTGCTCAATATTAAGGGCCCCTTCGGTAACCACATATTTTCAAAATATGCCAACATATATTACCCCACCTCTTGGCAAATGAATGTGGGCTCAAAACAGCACTAGTAGACACTTGAAAATATGTAAAATATAGGTACGGTTTCGTTCGGTAACCCTGTAATCCCGCTGAGTAAGGATCGAATGTAGGATAGTCGAAAAATTCCTTCTAGTCAGACAATTGCCTTCCTACCTACCATTCAACAGTCTTATGGCTGACATACCTGCTACTGCTGCACTACAGAATGGCCATTAAAGATTTCTTTGGTATAGGCATAGCCAGATAGAATAGACGTTCTCCGCATTTGCTTGTCATAATGAGAAGAATAGTACTGAGCAGCAGTAAGAACGACACTTGCAGCTACCTCTTCAAATAGAGAGTCATCCATGACTGAAATATAGCTATTGCAGTCATGAAATGTGGCTACCAGTCATGAAAATAAAAAATATCGCTATTGCAGTCATAAATGTCCATTATTTCTGTGTGCTTAGCGCACATTGGGCCTCAAATTATGGGTCAACCCATAATTTACATATTTTCAATGTGCAATGTGGCCTGGCAAGTGAAAATATGGTTACCGAACGTAACCGTGTATTAATAGTACGCTAAGTTGAAAATATGTTGGCATATTTTGAAAATATGTGGTTACCGAAGGGGCCCTAAGAGTATTCATCTGCACGCTCGGGCTTGCAATCAAGCCGGCCGCATATATCATGTGTCGATGGCGTCCAATTATCTCGAAACCCTCTGTTTTTTACTTATCATCTCAGCTCTGTCGCTCGCACGGTTATTCAAGACGCGAATGCAGGGGTGCAGGATTAAGGGAATGCAGGATTAAGGGATTGCAGGATCATTTCGTCAGAACGAACTTTTTCGCCACAGCTTGAGGAATAATCGTTTCCACCCCCATTTGCACGCTCTTAAATCCGATAAATCCGACAAAGATAGCTACCACTACCACTCATTCAAATTGTTACGAGCGTACCCTTGACACACCACTCAGCCCTATGGCCTAGTGCCTTGGCGGAGGCATCTCCTACTATATCATGCCTCCTTCCCACCTACATAGTTCGGTAGCCTTATTATCCTTGATCTACCTCACCCATACTGATATCGCACCTATGCTGGTCCTGACATTATAATAAGGCTCCTTCGTAACCCCCGGCGAAGAGAAATGCAATCGGGCACACTCCATTCGAATTAGCGGACGAATTCAAAGAAATGCGCTGGCAGGGGCTTTGACAACATCGTATCCCTAGGTAAGCCCACCATACGGGTAACTCGATTCCAAAGAGCCTAACGGGACAGCGGAACGGCCTCGCCAAAACAGTGGGCGAGGGACCAATAAGACCATTCGTACGACTAGCGAATTGATAGTAGAAAGAAATCGTCACAAACACCCCCCCACACCATAGTGAGCCTGCTACAATGGCGACGGGAACAGACCCGGCAACACGATTACGATTCGACCTCTTCACTAAGCATGTCGACAACACACATAGTGGGCCTGCTACCAAATGGCATTCAACACATTCGATTCTTTCCCTACCTCCCTACCAAATCCCACGAATCGGCAAATGAGTTGAGACAAAGGATGGAATGGAGGATGGACTTGATGGCAAGAGCATGGGAGACGCAGGGCAAATCTACAGTGAAGCTCCCAGGCCAGGCTGCCAGTAGGTGTTGAAGGTGAAAAAAGTGGAGGACTATGGCAAGAAGACTGGGCAAGGAGAAGAACTCGGAGAATCTTGCTGGTACGCAGGCAAGAAGCGGCTACATCTCCAGGATCTCTGAAGGACATGGCAGGCATGGCACAGTCAAGACCAGCAAAATCTCGGACATGGTGTTTTTGAACGAATTGAAACCATCCGATGTTCGACTGCTACCGCTATATCTCGGCAAATCTTCTCCAATCAAGGCCTGCAGGGACTATGGATGTTTGGAGACACAAGGCAAGCAATGGGCGTGCATCTCCGGTCTACCAGCCATGGGGGCCATGGCTATTGAGAGGGGGGGGTAGTGTTACGAGCGTACCCTTAACACACCACTTAGCCCTATGGCCTAGTGCCTTGACGGAGACATCTCCTACTATATTATATCTTCTTTTCATCTATATAGTTCGATAGTCTTATTATTCTTAATCTATCTTACTTATACTAATATCGCATCTATACTAATTCTAATATAAATAATCTACTATTATAATTTATTATAGTCGTTATCTATAGATCTAGAATAGTAGATATCTCTATTCTAGACTTAGATCGAAGTATATATTATCTTAAATTAGTTATTATTAAAGATATAAAGAGAAATAAAACTTCTATTAAGAAGAAAGATATTATATCTCTTATATTAAATATATTAACGTTATTAAGTCTCGCTTTATTATAGTAATAATAGTAAGATAAATAAAGAAGAGTTAAGAGAAGAAATAGTAACGATTTTATTATAATTAAGAGCTTAATAGAGAAAAGTTAATTAAGTTAAAACGTAGATCGATTAATCTAATCTTAATACTCTTAATATATATTTTAATACGTATTAAGATATATTAAGATATATTAGAATATAAGAAATATCTTAAAAATCTTATTTAGAATATATATATATCGCTTTTTTATATCTATATAACTTCTCTCTTTAATTAATAATATAATCTCTATTAATTAATATAATATAACGCTTAGTTTCTTAAATTATACTTATTATTCTTATTTTTAAATCTATAAATTAAATATATAGTTTAAATTTAAATTATTTTTTATTACTTAATAAATTAAATAATTTTAATTTTTAATAATTTTAATTTTATAATATCTCGATAACTTATTTTACGCTTAATATATAATATAAATTTTTTATATATAATAGCTTATAGAAATATCTATTCTTTAAAGATTAAAATTTATTAGAAATTATAATAATATAAAGATAGTTAAACTTAATAAAATTTAAAAAATATAAGAGATTATAAAATCTTAATTAATTTTAATAATAATTAATTTTAAAATATATTAATTAATTTCTTATATAAAGATTAATAAGATATAGTTTATTATCTTATATTTAAAGAGAAATTAATAAGATATAATTTATTATCTTATAGTTAAAGAAATCTACTCTTAATTAAATATAATTATATTTAAATAATTTTCTCGAAAATAGTATAAAAGAGTAAAAAAAGAACTTTAATAAGTTTTTAATTTTTTTATTAACTCTAAAGTTAGAATTAAAAAGATATTAAAATTATAAAATAAAGATAGAGTATTTAAAAGATACTTATTAACTTTAAAAGAGATTTAATTAATAGTAATATATAAATCGAGATTTAAATTATATATTTATAAGATTAATTAAGATAACTTAGAGTTAATCTTTTATCTCTATTAAGAATTAAATAATAAACTTAAGAATATAATAACTATTATTAAGTAACTCGAATCGTTAAAAGATATAATAATTATTATAGTAAGAATAAATATTTATTAATAGAGAAAAATTATCGATAAAAAGATATAAATTAACTTAATTTAAAAATTAAGAAAATAATATAAAGAAGATTAAATAAAGCTTAATATTATTAAAAAAAATTAAAAAAAAAATTATATTTATAGAAACTTAAATATTTAAAAAGAAATTACTAGCTAAATAAAGTAGAGATAATAAAAAGTTAAATTAAAATAATATTAGATAAGCGAAGGGGTTAGAGTTATAGCGACGAATACGTGAAACTTAGAGAAAAAAAAAAAAAAAAAAATTTCTTTTAGATTTTCATTTTATTATTTTACGCCTTTTTATAATAATATTAAGATTTAAAATTATAAAAGCGAATACGCTAAATCTAATAGCGTTTTCGATTTTTAATTATCTAATCTACTTTCTTCTTTATATATTACTTTATTTAAAATCTTTTAATAATCTATAATAATAACGCTAAAATCTATAGATTATATCTATTTTAATATATTTTATTTAATAATAACTTTTACTTATTATAACGCGCGAAGTTAAATATTTTAATATTATTTATTATTATAAATAATATACTTAATTAGATTTAACTTTATTTTATTAAAAAATTAATATTATTTATTATTATAAATAATATATTTAATTAAGTCTAGTTTTACGCTATTATTATTATATATAATTTATTTAATTAGATATTACTAATAAGTTATTATTATCTATAAATAATATTTATCTAAATAAAAAATAAATTCTCTTTTATTTTATTTCTAACTATTTTAATATAGAATTTTATCTTTAACTTATATTTACTACGCGTTTACTATATATTTAATCTAATCTTATCTTTTATAAAAGTATAATCTTTCTTTCTTTACTCTCTTTTCTTTATTATAATAACTTATTTAAAAAAAATCTTAAAAGAAAAATATATCTTCGCTCGCGAGATTATAGCTAGATTTTAAGCTAGATATTAAATTAAATATAAAATCTAATTTTTATAAGTAGATATAATTATTCTATTATAATTCTTAAATCTTATAAATTTTTTATTCTTTAAAGTTATAGCTAAATAATAAGAGATAATTTAAATAAAAAATAATTAATTTATTAATATTATAGAGAATTCTAGCTTATTAAAAGAGTTAAAGAAAAATAATAATATTATCTTAATTAAAATAAGATTATAGCGATAATAATTTTCTCTTTTAACTATATTTAATCTTCTAATTAAATCTTAAAGTAAGAATAATATAATTACTCAATTTTTAATTAAATTATTATTTAAAGAAGCTTTTTTAAATTCTAGTAAATTATATATATTAAATAAATAAACTATTAATATTCTATTTACTTAGAATCTTATTAAGATTATAAATATTTTAATTATAAATATATATCTATAATCGAGATTAAGCGATAGAGTTCTCTATATTTATCGTTATAATTAAATATTTATATATTTATAGAGAGATCTCTAAGTTCGCTTTCTTCTCTATAATTCTCTTTTTTTTAATTTAAAAATTCTCTATCTTTACTTTCTTCTTTATAATTCTCTCTTTCTTTTTAATCTAAGAGTCTTTAATCTATACTCTCTTCGATATAATTCTTTTTTTCTTCTTAATCTAAGAATCTTTTATATATACTTCTTTTAATATAACTCTCTCTTTTTTTATAATCTAAAAGACTTTTAGCGCTAAGCGAAATTAAGTCTAATCTTATTAATTTCGATACTTCTAATCTTTTAATAATTAATCTCTTTTTAAAATATTTAGATAAATATAATTATAAATTAGAAAATATATATAATTCTAATCTTAAATTAGAGCGACGTAATTATCTTTTAATTTTTATAAATAAATCTAAAAGATTAAAAATTATATTTAAAGATATTACTCTCTTTATCGATTTATATAATATTATAATAGAGATTCTTAGAGCTAGCTAAAAAACTCGCTATATCTATAATATATTATTATTAAATCTCTCTCGAAATTTAACTAATATTAAATAACGAGTAATCTTAATATTATCTTCGAAGATACTCTTTTTCTTTATAAAATAATTAATTATTAAAATTAATATCTTTTTATAAAGTTCTTCTTTAATAATATTTTATATCTCTTATATTAGAATAAGATTATAGAGTAAAATAAAGTAGTAAATAATTTTAAGACTATTAATTAAAAAGCTTTTTTTATAAATAATAGAAATCTAGCTATTATTAATTTTAATAAATTAAAAAAGCGCTTTTTACGCTAGACTCGAGAGAAAGATCTTATATTTTAATATTTTTAAAATATTAATAATATAATATTTAATATTTTAAGTCTAACTATTTATTAATATAGATTTTACTTTATATTTTAATTATTATTTTTATAATAAATTATTTAGAATTAATAGATAATTATTTATAATTTAAAATTATATAAGATAAAATAACTTTATTTAAATTATAATATTATCGATAGTAACTTAAAGATTACTATTTATATTTTCTTTTCTTATTTTTTAATAATTAACTTCGATATTATATATCTAAATAATAACGAGTAAAATAGATAAATTAATAATATTATTTAATTTACGCTTAAAGATATTTATAGTTATTATATATAATAATACTAGTCGAGAAACTTTATTAATATAAATTATAAGATATATATTAAGAAAGAGTAGAGTATTAATAATACTAATTATTTAATTAATATTAATTATTTACTATCTACTAGCCTACTAAAATAATTCTAGAAATATATACTTTATAAGAGTAATAAATACTTTAAATTTATAAATTTAATATTAATTATTATAATTTATAATTTTAAAAATCTAATTTAATATAATAGCCTTATTTTAATAAAGTATAACTTTCTTAAGCTTATATAAATCTATTATAATATTTATAATAAGAGTTATCTAAGTCGAGATAACGCGTAACTTAATATCGAAGTTAAAGATATTTTCGCTATTAATAATATTATATTATTATAAAAGATATATTATCTTAAATAATAGATATAAGAATTCTATAATTCTCGATAAATTATATATTATCTTATAATCTTATAATATTCTTTTATATTAATATATAATATAAATTTAATCTTTATTAAATTAAGTCTAAATAATCTATTATAAAATAAAGAAAATCTTATTTATAATAAGATCTATAATAGTAATAAAGATTTATTTACTATATTATTTAAAAACTATTTTATATTTAATAACGACGACTTTAAAGACTTAGAGTTCTCTTAATTCTATATTAATAAATACTTCGAAATAAATTAATATAGTCGAATTATAGTTAATACTCGAGAATTCTACTTAAAACGATTTAATATAGTTAAAGAATATAAAAAGAGTAAGTAAAGAGTCGCTATTATATTAAAAGATTCGATAAAAATAAAGTTCTTATTTAATATATAATTAAAATATTATATAAGATAATTATTCTTTATATATTACGAATTTAATATCGATAATTACTCGATTACTATTATATAAATTATTACTTCTTTATTAAGTATTTAGAAACTTAAT